TAACCGTCCATCCCTATATAGGGATCCGAGCCTGTGGCCTTGGTGTTATCAGCACTACTCTCTCCAAAGTGAGCCATAGGCCAGCCCTTAGTTTCTCATTTTTAAAATAATAGAATTGAACTAGGGGATCTCTTAAGTTTTTTTCTAGTCCTTAAATTCTGACATCTATTGTACAAGTGCTTGTCAAGATTTCATAGGACATCAAAGGTTTTACTTATTAGTTTTATGCTGGGCTGACCTGGGTTGATTTTACCTATGTATATGGGAGAGGAGGAAGGAAGGAATTTTAAGGGAGTATTTTTTAAAGGAAATGAATGGACTCAAAGGCAAAAACAAAAGTAAGACAACTTGAAGGGGACTGACTGTCAGAATCAGGAAAGTGAATGGCTTGTGCAATTTGTTGGGGAGGAAAAGTTTTCTCTACTCTTTTATGTTCATTGTTTGGAGGCCTGCAAATTAAACTGGAGAAAGATTAGCAAGAGAAAAGGAAGATTTTTATTTCTGTGTGTACCCAGGAGTTTACAGAAATATGTGACTCTCCTAACTTAACAGGAGAGAGGGAGTGGGGAGAAAAGGTTTCTGTAGAAAGAACAAATGGGGTTATGGGGTAACAAACGGGAGGTCAGAGAGTTTATAGTAATGTTTATGCAGTTGTGAGTAATCTTCTCTGTCTTCTTTCTGGCCAGGGAATCTCCCCTGGAGAGGGGATTAATGGCAGCCTCACTCCCAGGAATTTTTATCTTTAGTCAGATAAGAAAGCTCCAAAAAGGCTTCATCTGTTCAGTGTCAAATGCCTTTTTTATTTCTGAATAATCTTCATACCAAATCTGGGAGTCTGAGTGAGTCCTCTCAAATTCATTCAATGAGCATTTTTTGAGTGTACAGTAATGCCACCTGACTTATATAAAACACTTTAGTGGTTACCCATTGCTCTTTGTTTAAGTATGGAAGTTTTTAACATTGCCAGCAAGATCTCGTATGGTCTGGCTGTTGCCTATTCTTACAATTTCATCTTTATGAGATTTCTTGGTCAGGTATACTGGCTATTTTTTAGTTCCTTAAATATATTATATGCTCTCCTGCTATTGAGCCTTTGAACATTTTATCATCTCTTCCCTGCCTCTTGGTCTAGTTAATTGTTATCTTTTAGGTTACATATCTGATGCTTTTTATCATTTCTACTGCTACAGTGCTTGTCAAAGGCAATGTGATCTTTCTTTTGTATGATAGCCACATAATTGGTCATTGTGTCTACTCTTACCTTTTCTGTAGTCCACATGGCAGCTAGAGTGATCATTCTAAATCACAAAACATTCTGTTTCTTCCCTGCATTGGGTCTGAGGGAGATCTATGTTGATTTACTTGGATTATAAGATCCCATTCATTTATTCAGTAAATGTTAATTGAGTGTCTACTATGTGCTAGACAATGTTTTAGTCACTGGGGATATGGTAGGGAAGAGACATGAATTTTTTCCTTTGTACAGTTTATGGTCTGATGGAGAGAGAGACATCTTGTAAAAATGTAGGTAAGATAAGTAGGCGGTAAGGGTTTGTAAGTTTAAATCAGGTGTTAGGGATGGTTTTAAAAACTGTGGCAGTTGAACAGTGATCTTCTGAAGTTGATTAGAAAGCGAGCGATGCAGCCATTTGAGAAAAAGCTTTCCAGGCAAAGGATCAGCAAGTGCAGAGGCTTTGAGGTAGAAGCATGCTTGGTGTGTTTAAAGAACAAGATGGCCCAGTGGGTAGAATGGTGATTAGGGAGGAGAGAATAAGAGATGAAGTCAGGAAGGTAAAGGAGGATCAGGTTGTTTCTGCCTAGTATACAATTGTTAAGATTTTGACTTTTATTGAATCCAATTGGCAGTCTCTGGAAGGTTTTGTGTGGCATGATCTCATCAGTTATGAAAAGATCACTGGCTGCTGTGTAGAAAATAGACTCAAGGGGGACGAGGCAGGGAACTAATCAGGGAGACAACTTATGAGGCTATTGTAATAATCTAGTGAGGAATGATGGTGTCTCGGACCATGGTAGCAGGAGTGGAGGTAGTAAGAAGTGATCAGAGTTTGGATATGTTTGGCAGAACTTAAATTTTGCATGTAGGATGCAAGAGAGATAGTGGAGGCCAGTTTGTCTCTAAAGGTTTTTGTCCTAAGTGATTAGATTGATGGATGTGTCATTACTGAGATGGGAAAAAACTGTGGGAGGAGCAGGTTTGGGAGGGTGCAGATTAGGGTCTCAGTTTTGTTCATGTCAATGTGAGATTCAGGTGGAGTTGTTAAGTAGACAGTTGAATACTGGAGTCTGGAGTTCAGGGCAGAGACCTGGGCTGCACATATACATTTGGAGTTGTTAATGTAAGTAGAGATGATGGTGTATAGAATAGAATACCAAGGGAGTAAACAGAGAAGTCCCAGAACTGAGCATTGTGCCTTTCCCACTTCAGAGCTGGTGGGATGAGGAGTACTGCCAGAAAACCCAAGACAGAGCTCTTTACAGAATGCTTCTGCTTACATTGACCTCATTTCCCTCCATTTTCTGCTCCTGCTCCAAGCTCCAGCCACACCAGCTTTCTATCCATTAAATATGGTAAACTCATTCCCATCTTAGTACCTCTGCACTTGGTCTTCCTTCTGTCTGGGAAACTCTTCTAGATCCTTATGTGGCTATTTCCTTTTCATCATTTAGGTCTCAGCTCAAAAGTTGGCTCCTCAAAGGTGCCATCCTTAATGATCTTAGCTAAAGAGCAGGTGTATGTACAGAAGAGTATCATCCACAAAATGTGGCACCTTGCTTTACTTAGAGACAATTATTCCTTTTTGTTTTCTTAAATTCTACTAAATCATTGTGTGTTAATTCTTGATTATAAATCTATATTTTTTCAAAACTTAAAAAAAAAAAAATTGTATGGGGCTGGCCCGTGGCTCACTTGAGAGAGTGTGGTGCTGATAACACCAAGGCCACGGGTTCAGATCCCTATATATGGATGGTCGGTTTGTTCACTTGGGAGAGCGTGGTGCTGATAACATCAAGCCAAGGGTTAAGATCCCCTTACCGGTCATCTTTAAAAAACAAAAAAATACACACACATACACACACACGTGCGTGCGCACACGTATTCTGAGTGTATAGTTTAATGAGTTTCCACAAACTGAACTCACCTAGAACGAGTACTCTGGAAACTCCTCTTGTGCCCCCTTCTAGTTATTGCCTCTTTTCCCCATAGGGATAACTAACCATTTGTTCTGATTTAACACATCAAATTAGTTTGGGCTATTTTTATTATTAAATGTAAGTGAAAACACATAATATGTATTTTTTTATCTAACTTCTTTTTGTCGAGAAATTGTGAGTGTGTAGTTATTGTTTATTTATTCTCATTAGTCTTTGGTTTATATAGCTTGAGATTATATTAGATGGTACCTAAAGGGTCATGGTTATTATCTTTAATACCCTGAATGATTTTGTCTGAAGTAAGTCTTGAAGTCAGACATTGTGAGTCCTCCAACTTTGTTCTTTAGTATTGTGTTGGCTCTTCTAAGTCTTTTGCCTTTCCATATTATAGTTCCTTTGCTTTTTCATGTAAATTTTATAATTGCTTGTCTGTTTTTACAAAAAATCCTGCTGGGATTTTCATTGGGATAATGTTATATCTATAGATTTATTTGGGAGAATTGATAACAACATTGAATCTTCTAGTTCATGAACATGGTATATTTCTCCATTTGTGTAGATTTTCTTTTATAAGTGTTTTGTAATTTTCAGCAAACAGAGTTTGTATGAATTTTGTTAGATATATATATATAAGTATTTTATGGTTGTGTTTTGATACTATTATAAACAGTACTATTTTTTTTTTTTTTTTTTTTTTTTTTTTTAAAGATGACCGGTAAGGGGATCTCAACCCTTGGCTTGGTGTTGTCAGCACCACGCTCAGCCAGTGAGCAAACCGGCCATCCCTATATAGGATCCGAACCTGTGGCCTTGGTGTTATCAGCACCACACTCTACTGAGTGAGCCACGGGCCGGCCTAAACAGTACTATTTTTTATAATTTCAGTTTACATTTGATGTTGCTTGTGTATAGAGATACAGTTGAAATTACATTTGGTATATTGACCTTGTAATCTATGACCTTGTTAAATTCACTTTTTAGTTTTATTACTTTTTTTTTTTAGGATTCTTTGGATTATTCTATAAAGTCAAGTCATCTGTGAATAAATACAGTTTTATATCTTCCTTTCCAATCTGTATACCTTTTATATCTTGTTGTGCTGGCTAGGACTTTCAGTATGATATTAAATAGGAGTGGTGAGAGCAGACATCTTTGCCTTATTTTTGATAATATAAACAAGATAATAGTTGCAGTCTTTCAGCAGTCTTTCACCAGTAAGCATGATGTTGGCTGTATGAATTTTGTAGATGCTTTTCATCAGGCTGAAGAAGTTCTCTTCTATTCCTATTTTGCTGAGTCTTTTTATTTTTATGTGAATGGATGTTGGATTTTGTCAGATGTTTTTCTGTATCTGTTGAGAAGATCATATGGTTTTTCTTCAGTTACTTGATATAGTGAATTATATTGATTGATTTTCAAATGTCTTTTTAAAAATTAAGCACCAATTAATGTCTACTGCTTATAAATCCCATATCTGCCTTTTTCTTTTGAGTATAGTTTTCTCTACAGCTCATATCACCATCTGCCATACTGTGTATTTTGCTTATTTGCATATTCTGTCTAACCTCAGTAGAATATGTTTCATGTTTTGCTTCATACCGTATCTCCAGTCTCTAGAACATTGTCTAGCACAAAGTAGTAGTCATTAAATGAATGAGTGAATATTTACCTCCTCTCAAGGAGTTTATATTCTAGGACCAGAGAAAGAGGTAAACAAGTAAAAGGTGATACGTCTTAGGAGAACTGTCAACAAAATTTTTTGGGAGGTCAAGATGGGAGAGATTTAAGTTTATGTAACAGATTTCTTTTCCTTTTTTTTCTGTCAGATTTGAAAGAAGATACATCTAAGACAAGTTTATTTAGTGATGCAGGAAACAAGAAGAATTCAATAAAAATGTGGTTCAGTCCTCGAAGTAAGAAGGTCAGATATGTTGTGAGTAAAGTTTCAGTGCAAACCCAGCCCCAAATGATAAAAGATGCAAATGCTCAGCAGGCCTCAACGTATGAGTTTGTTTCAACAAGTCCACCTGTAGAGGTTTCCAAAAAGGCTAGAAAGGCTTCTACAAGATCTGGAAAAAAGCAAAAGAAGAAAACTTTAGCTGAAATCAACCAAGAATGGAATTTAGAAAATGAAGATGGTGAACTTGACTCCAAAGAGGAATGTAAGGAAAAGCTTGTATCCTTCTGTAGCCAACCATCTGTTATTGCTGCCCCTCTGATAAATGGGGAGATAGACTTACTAGCAAGTGGCTCCATAACAGAATATGAATGTTTTGGAAGCGTAACTGAAGTCTCTTTACCACTAGCTGAGCAAATAGAGTCGCCAGACATTGAGAACCGCAATGAAGTAGTGACTCCTGAGGGGAAGGTCTGTGAAAATCATCTTACACCTAAGAAAGCTTTGTCCTTAGGTCATAATGGAAAACGTGGGCCTCTCAACAGACTTTCTAATCCCATTTCTAAGAAACAGAGAAACATTCAGAGCACCAGTGTAGATTTTGTTAATCAAATGATGCTCTCAGAAAACACACCATTGCCTGACTGTTGTTCTCCACCTCCAGGCAAACTTGAAGTTGGTGACATGTTAAGGAGGAAAAACAGTAATACATCACATAAATCCATTAGCCTTTCACCAGGTACACTACCTTCCACATTGAATAGTTCAAGTTACAGACGAATGATGTCTACTCCCTCAACAATGAAGCTGTTGCCCAATTGCATTACGGCTATGAAAAGAAATCATAGAGGAGAGACTTTGCTCCATATTGCTTCTATTAAGGTAGGATGCTTACTCTGAAATACATTCTTGGAATGAGACCACCTGTAAAGCAATTTATTTGGGGTTTGTGAAAAGTAGCATAAGACTACAAGGATTATTAACCTACCATAGAAAACAAAACTTCTTCACCTAAAAAGCAAAATTCATGGGGAATGTATCTTCTTCTCAGTTAGAGGAGTGGCCCCTGGGTCCAAAAAGCATGATCTTGTAGAAGAAAACCAGTATTTGAATATTTCAACTTCTGTTTGACAGGTGCTTTTGCTTTTGTGTATTTTTTGTTCAGTTTTCATCATTTTCTTTACTCATGCTTTATGAATATAGACAATTGCTAAGGTACTGCTGGGAGCATGTTTTTACCTAGCAAAAACGCTAGGCTAGGGGCACTGTGAGAGAGGACAGGCTTCTGTTTCTGCTTCACACTACTAGCGGCACTGCCAGGATTTAAAAGGTTGAACGATACAGTCTGTACATATCTCCAGTGACCTGGGCATTTGACTATCAGATATGGCCTCTGCAGTTCACCACAAAGGAGCTGCTCTGTGCTTCAAAGTCAGGCATTCTTTTTGCTGGCCTGTTCATTGAAGTTAATTCTCTTTAATTATTGCCTCGATACCTGGAATGTGGCAGCAGTGTTCTGTGGAACATGGCCCATTTTCTGAGCACATGATGTACCTGGCAGTGATCTTTGAATTGACACAAGTACTATATATGAAAGGGAGCAGTAAGCTCTGTAGCTTTATAGAATTTGCTCTGTGATTTCATGCAAGTGTTATGATAATATAATAAGGTATAGCTTAGTAGTGAATAGCACAGCTTTTATGTTTTCTCAGTGATTTTACATAGTAAATTCACCCAGGAAATCCTTGGGTCTTTTGGGTGGATAGAGAACTTTGGGAGGTCTGGAAGGAGCCCCTTGGAGGCCCCCAAACATCAGGCTGGTGGAGAACATAAAACATCTGAGAAGAACATGGAGTACGCACTGAGCAGGGCTCAAGGATTCCTGTATTTTTGTTTGGGGAAGGTGAAATGCTCAAAAATGAGCTTCTTCCAACTATTGGGGGTTTTTTTTACTTGCTTTTCTTTCAAATTAATGTAGAATACTCTATTTTTGATGCCAGTGAGGGGAACCTGCAAATGACTACATGCGAGGGGATCACATATCCTTTGGACAACTTGAATTTTTGGAGATGGCTCTGGCTACATTTTTAGTTTGATTTCTGCAAAGCGTGACTTATCAAATCAGACTATATTTTTGTCATCTTTGTTATATATATATATATATACACACAAGTATATATATGTGTATATGCATATTTATACACATAAGTTATTATAAACTTAACGTTACAATGTGATTAATGTTTCATAGACATAAATAGTGTAATAATTATTTTTTGTTCGTTTTTCTGACTAATACGAGGCTGCTTTAGTTTTTATATTTTGCTTTTGGAGAATTTTCAGACCACCAGGGAAGCATCCACTAATGTTTGTAAGGAATTTTTCTTCCAACTATAAGAATAATTTATAAATGAGAATCTCTAGGGCCCGGAGTCTTGGCCAGGGTTTGGTAAACTCTTTCTTAAAGGGACAGAGTGAACATTTTCAGCTTTGTTGGGCATACAGTGTCTATCACAGCTGTTCAGCTCTCTGTCTTAGTGCAAAAGCAGCCATAGACGATATGTAAACCAATAAAACTTTACATACTAAATCAGATCCACAGGCCATAGGTTGCTTACTTTTGCTGTAGGCATGGGAGAAAAGCCATAATAAAATATTGACAGGAAAAAATGGTGGCATGACACTGTCTTGGTGAATTTTCTTCACTGATATATATGAGATTGCTTCATACAAGTTTTGTCAGATTGTCAGTTTACTTAGAGTCTTGCCAGGATTAGAATTACCTATTTTGATTCTCTAGAACTTAATTATCAAATATTATTATTGTCATTAGTTGGCAGATTCTGATACAGAATATTTAAGAAAAGTTAATTGATTTCTTTTATGAATTAACAATAGTGTTCTCTTCTTTATAAATTTATTATGAACGTATGACCCCTCCTCAGCTTGATTTTTATAGGCAAAAAATGCCTGAAAAAAAAATCAGACTTTGTCAGTATATTTGTCAGTATCTTTTTAGAAATACTTTTCATCTTACTCCTGCTCTAATTTTCTGATTTGCAGCCAAGAATAAATAATCTGAATATACTAGAAAACCAAATAGTGCAATTCTGCTGTTTTATATTTTGTACCCATCTACTTCAGAAAGGCATTTGAAGTGGCTCTAAAGTTAAAATTACTATAAAATGGAACAAGGAACAGGGAAAGAGGAAAGAGTTACTATAACTGCATAATGAATAAATTTGGTGACCATTATGCAAATAAGAAGTCGTGTTTTTTGTGCTGTCAAAACACAAATTATTTGCCCAGCAGTAGTTTTTCTTTCTCTTGGAACAGATACCTTCCCCTCCTACAATAAGGGCTTTACAGAATGATCTCTAAACTTGGGAACACTATTAAGAAAATTCTTTAACATCTTGTCCCAAACCACCTGTTGGCATCACCTTTGGTTGTAACCTACCACCCTAGTGGCAGACTTGTCTCTTTTTGCCTTGACCACTTGTGTTAGTTTTCTCTGCTGCCATAACAAATTACTGCAAATTTATTGACATAAAACAATACAATCATTTATCTTACAGAGTGGTCCGAGATCTGGTATGGGTCTCATCAGACCAGAATCACTTTGTCAGCTGTGTTACCTTCTGCAGGCTCTAGGGAAGGATCCGTTTCCTCACTCATTTGGGTTGTTGGCAGGCAATGCATAGTTCTTGTGGTAGGACTGAGATTCTGTTTTCTTGCTGGCTTGCAACGGAGTTTCATTCCCAGGTTGTAGAGGCTGTCACATTCCTTAGTTCATGGCAGGTTAAGTTCTCACATCACATCTCTCTGACATAGCCCGGAAAAGTTCTCTGCTTTTAAGGACTTGTGTGATTAGATTAGGACCACCTGGATAGTGCAGAATAGTCTCCCCATCTCAAGGTCGGTACCCTTAATAATGTGGCAGACTCTTTTGCCACGAAGTTAATGTATTCACAGGTTGTGGGGATTAGGATGTGGACATTTTGTGGGGAGGAGTGTTATTTTTCTTCTGAGCACACCACTGAAGTTGCTTCCTAATTTCTTGCCCTGCTTTCCCTTTGTGCTTCCTGCAGGCAGTCTTCCATGGGACATTCTTATATTATTCTTCTTTAAAACTCATGTTCCTGACTGAATATCTGTGTCACCTATAGCTAAAATGCTTTTGAGAACATTGTGATATCAGTGAGATTTTTATGAAAAAGCATTATGTCTAAGTAGAAACTAATACAAACACTCATTTCTCTGATTTAATAAAAAAAAAATACTAAGGACATAGAGAAAATTTTCTATTATATCTCCGTGGCTTTGAGAATGAATTTGTAGGTACTGGAATACACCCTCCTCCCACCCCCCAGTTCTCTAGCACAAATTCATAAGATGGCCGTGATTACTCATAATTCATGCCACAGCAGTGAACTTATTTTGAAATAGAAAAATGACTTGAAGCTGTCATGCCATGATGTATTTGTGGTGCAGACTTAATAGGTAGTGTTTTGAAGGCAACTTTTAAGCCATGGTATGTGTAGAACATAGCAAAGGTGCTGAAGATGATCTGGGTAGAGAGAAAATCACTTGTGTGGTGTCTCCTTTGGGGTGTGACTTTGTAATTCATTATACTTTAAGGCAGTCATGCTACGCTGTGGGTGAAGTCATGTTGTCATGTATCCTCCATACTCGCTGCATGAGAAGGTAGCAAAGGATACAAAAGCAAACTAGCATCTGTGATATTTTCAAGATTTCAATTTCTAGAACACCTCTTAGAGTCAGTATCCATTTTTTTTTCTCTGTGTTGCCCATCACCTATGTGTAAGTCTGCCTTTGTAATATGAGTAACTTATTGTAATGTTGACTAGGTTGTCAGAATCATTCTTAAATTATTTTATTCAGTAAATTTTAAGAAGCCAAAGAAGTATTTAACATATCTTAGCGCTCCATTCGAGATTGCTAATTTTTTTTTTTTAAACATCTAATTGCTGAAAGGGGGGCCGGCCTGTGGTTCACTCGGGAGAGTGCGGTGCTCATAATTGCTGAAAGGGGAAGGTTTAGATATCTTGTCAGTTCATTTATGTGGAAAAGCTTAACCATGTTGGGTAAGTCATTTTTATTGTACTTAATTGTAATGTCCTGTACTGTCCTTATGAAGATGTTTGTTATTAATGTTAATTATTTTAAAAGAGCTAACCTTTATAATAGGGAAAAAGGGTTTTGTTTTTGTGTGTGTGCTTGGAAAGTTAATTTATATTGCTCGGATATGCTGTATGTGCAATATGCACAAACATGTGAAGAATCTTTCCTTTGACTGAAAACTTAGCAATAAAAAAATTCAGTGGGACATAACCATACTCACACACACTCCCTTATTTTCAGCCTTTTAAAGTATTATTTAAAAATACCAAGTCCATTTATAATATTTTTATAAGCCTTGATAAATACTTAGATGATTTTTTTTTCTTTTTTGCTGTGGTTTAAGAAAATCTCAATTCTTTAAGTTGTGAGGAGCCTAAAGGTGAATGCTTATTATGCAAAAAATATTCTGTTAGTGAAGAAAGTAATTTAAGGAAATCAGAAGCAGAAGTTAATTTATTTCCTGGAAACTTCATATCGGTCCAAACTTATCCAGTTACTGTGGACCCTATCTAATTACCATAATTGTATTTATGTGCATGACATTAAATTTACATGAAGTAGAAAGGTGAAAATATTTTAAGTACTAGGGAGGAGAAAGCAGTCTGGGTATAAAAAGCTAGCAGTTTGCCAATCAGCTATACATGTGAGGGGGTGGAATGTTAACAGGAGACACTTTTGATAACATGGAGGTGACATTAAAGAAAAATAGCAACCATCTAGCAACTTTAAAAGAGATTCTGCTTTTCTCCAAATTGTCATTCTATTCCTATTTGACTGTTCCCATGTGACTCTTCCATTCCACAATTGTGTTATTATTTTATGGGCTTCTTTGGATTAGTATGTTTTTTGTCATTACTACGTATAGAATTAGAATGGGGACATTTTTTAAAAGGTTTTTTGTGTATTTTTTGTGGGTGATTTCATGTTGAAGGTAGGGAATTTATGTGGTTCTGGCAGTTCATCTGCCCAATATTCAGGGAATTGTTTCAAAAAATTCACATTTGGGGCCGACCCCCTGGCTCACTAGGGAGAGTGTGGCCCTGGGAGCGCGGCGGCGCTCCCATAGAGCAAAAGTTGCTAAGTACATGTTAAGTTGCATTAGAAGTGTAGAATATGTACCCTTAGAAAATCTGGGAAAATTTTTTTTGTTGGAGCTGGGACAACTGATTTGAAACATATGTAGTACTTTTAGTCCCAATAAATATTTAAGGTCATTTTTTGAATTTGGGAACATAAAAATATATGTTGCATTTGGATTTATGTTTTTAGAAAATTGTAAGGTACCATCTTAAGATTTTGGGAAGTAGCCCAAAACATGGAAATAGAAATAAATAAAAATAGAAAAGAAAAGGAAAAGGCAAATGAAAACAAATGTTAATGTATTTTGAGATCTTAATGACTTCTATGTGATTATACCAATAGAGGAAAAAAGTCATTTCAGAAAAGAGTATTGAGGCTGGGGGTGGGAGAGGATAGATTTCTTTCTCCTGAAAGAAGCACATTACAAAACTAATTGAATATAACATTGTACAACTTTTGTCATGTGTAACTTTTATTTATTCAGCCCTTTTCAGAATAAGTTGCATCAATTGCTAAATGCGGATTCCATGGGTCATTTTGAACAGGTTTATACTGATCCCTTTTCTGCCATTTCAAACAGAGCAACTACTTCTGCCTAGACAATACCTTTGAGTAAGTAAGGCAAATATAAACAGTTAATGTATTAGGATAAGTAGAGTAACTGCCAATAAGAAAAGTTTTTGTCAGTTTTAACATGGGTTTTACTTAGGAAGTCCCCTTGGCTTTAAATGATTTTGTGTGTTTTAAACAATATTCAAAAACCGTTTCCATCTGTGCTCAAAAAGGATTTTTTTCACAAAAGAAATGATGACATCAAAAGCTTCATTATGATCAGATGATCTTTGAACAATATCCTTTGTTTGGTATCTTGAAATGAATTTTGAAAATAAGTTGCTGATAGAGATTTTGTACTCTATAATTTAAGGATAGATCCTACGACTCGGTACCTCAGAATATTTGTTATTCGCTCATGGGTAACAGGTATAAGAGAAAAATTTGTTTTACTTTATCCTGAAGAAGATGGCATCTTAAAAAAAATAAATAAAAGCCCTCAGTGTCTTCCTTTCTTTTCTTAATGCTTTTTCATTTCTTCTTATTTTTTCATTGTTCTACTAGGGTGACATACCATCTGTTGAATACCTCTTACAAAATGGAAGCGACCCAAATGTTAAAGACCATGCTGGATGGACTCCACTGGTAGTTTTTTATTTGTTTGGTTTTTATTCTCTTTCTCTCTGTTTTGTAGTTCTTATAGTTTATGGTTATGTATTTGCCCATATGCTGTCCTCTGCCACATATACACTCATTTTAGTCTGAAGATCTTATGTTTTCACCAAGTATGAGAAAATGATTATTTTCCATCTAACTATTCAATTTTGACAGGCAAGAAATTGGCTGCATTTTGACTGACTACCTTTAGGTCAGGAAGTCTAATGCGTCTAGCTTTACCGTTTTTGTTCAGGATTTCTTTGTCTATTCAGGGTCTTTTGTTGTTCCATATGAATGTTAGGATTGCTTTTTCTATTTCTGTGAAGACTGTCATTGGTATTTTGATGGGAATCACATTGAATCCGTAGACGGCTTTAGGAATCCAGTTACACTTTATTGCTGAATTTACCCAATATATGTAGGTAACTGCTAAAACCAACATCAGGCTCCATCTGCAGTACTGGATGTCACTGGAACCAGATTACTTAGAGCAAAGAGAGATCAAAGGAACCGAGTACAGGAATGTGATCACAAGGGAGTGGTTCTTACTGAGGATCTCTCTCAGCCTCATTTAAACCCTATCCAATTGCAGTTATATAGAGGTACTAGAAATCTTTGCTTACATTAAACATTTTTGAAAGTCTTTGCTTATCATTACTAAAAATACAGTGTGAAGAATATTCTGGAAAAAGAATGGCACAAATACTTGGAAACAGTTGCTATATGGGCTAATTACATTAGGACAATAAGCAAGAGATTTGAATACAGCCATAGAAATGTCAACAAATGAGGTGGATGACTTTATCCTGTAAACTAAAAATTCAACATAGAAATTAGAAGACTCACTAGGCCAGGTGCAAAAAAGTTTTAGTTATATATAATTTCTCCTTGACAAATTCTTAAGCTTGGGAAGGTTTAGTCTGGATCAAAGTCAGTTTTTTTTGTCTGGACTCCACAGACTGGATAACCTTTTAAAGAAAGGTTAATTTAATTTTTTTTAAAGCTACTAAGACAGTTGTACTAAAGGTTGGTGAGGGATTTAGAGGATCTGATGCCTGATTTGGATTCTTTTTTTCTAGAAATAGACCTACAGATGTCGAGTGTGGTATCACCTATTATGAATTGAAATAGAGTTACTTAAAAAACAAGAAAAGTTACTTAAAAAGCATTATGCCAAAGATTAATTAGAATACAGCATAGTGGCATTGTTGGCAGTACATTACATATAAGGAAGATTGCGTATAAGGAATCTTTGACCATTCCATTGTCACCAGCTCTGTCATTCATTCAATAAACTCTTCTTGAATACCTACTCCATGTTATTTCTGTTATCACTGACATCAGCTATATAGTGATATGTAACTTTGGCATATAGAGTGTTTGTCTTATAAATACTCTTTCTAGGATGTTCATTTTGTTGGGTGGTTATGTGTATGTGCTGATGCGGTGCTTAGTGTATGGCTAACCACCTAATTTATTTAGTGAATTATCTACAGCCTTGGAGAATTTCAGATTTTATGCACGATCTGATTGTTAAATATGTATGTGCTGATGCGGTGCTTAGTGTATGGCTAACCACCTAATTTATTTAGTGAATTATCTTCAGCCTTGGAGAATTTCAGATTTTATGCACGATCTGATTGTTAAATGCCTCTTTTTTTCTAAATTTTTTTTTCTTAATGTTTTTAATTTATTGTAGAACAACTTAGGAGCTATCATTGGTTTAAAGCTGTAATTTTCTTCTAAAACAAAGAGTTTGACCCAAGGATCAGACTCTTCTTTTTCCATGAATTGCACAGATCTTAATCACCACGTATCTTAATTTGTGGTAATTGGCATGCTGCTAGTATTGACCTGGCCATCATATCTTAGGCACAAGTGGTGCTGGTCAGCTTTGTATCCAATGAATATTCATAACCAATAAAAGAAAAAGAAAGGTTACTAATAGTGGCTTTTACTCTGTCAACAACTGTGGTCTGTATGAGTATTTAGGTAAGCATAAATTTACTGATTGAGGTTCACATTTAGTTTTCTAAAATGTGGTGTTATAATATTATCCATTGCTCTTTCTCATCACTCTTCTCACTACTTTCATTAGCATGAAGCCTGCAATCATGGGCACCTGAAGGTAGTGGAATTGTTGCTACAGCATAAGGCATTGGTGAATACCACCGGGTATCAGAATGACTCACCACTTCACGATGCAGTCAAGAATGAACACATGGATATAGTCAAGCTATTACTTTCCTATGGAGCCTCTAGGAATGCTGTGTAAGTAGCTCAACTTAAAAGTTGTTTTTAAATTGACTTGTATTCTTGAATCACAGTATGTGATGAAAAAAGACTTTAATACCCAAGTTGATGGCTTTCTCATTTCTTTTTCACAACTAAAGGTTAGATGTGATCATTAGGTTCTGTATTTAAAATCAGAATTCATGCCCTTTTCCTTTATGATACTTACATAGTTAGGGGAGATTTGTACTCTTAATTCAGAAACAATTGTCATATTAGTTTTGTAAGCTTTCATTTTATGGTCAAATTACTTAATGCTATATTCTGTAGATTGACTCATACTTATTAATAAGAAAATAATTATCATAGAAATAATTATTTTGCATGCTTCCCAACACTTTAGAATTGTTTTAAATATTTTATTCCATTTATGGGTTTTTTTGTGTACAGTATTTAGTCTAACAACAGTTAAAGTATGTAAGAATTCAGATACTGGGCAAGTGCAGTTGAATTATTTCTTCGATTTTTCACATCATCCAAAGGAGGCTCTGAGTAAATTATTTTGCATTGTCAGGGCACAGAGATGCATTAGTGAATGCTGGCAGCTGCATTTTAAAATTGCTATTGTGAAGAGTGTCACAAGCAAATGCCATGTGTAGATTTTATATCTTTAATTTGTAGCTTGGTTCATGTCTCTCTATATATTATTTTACGTTTTTCAGTTAGTTAGGTAGTTGAAATGAAAATGCAAGAATTGCCTCTCTGTGCCCCATTGCTTCTACAGGTTTGAAAAGAGCACATGAAAGTCAACCTTACCCTGGTTACAGACACAGATAAGAATTACAAAATGCAGAGCTTCTAGGTTGTAATTTTTTATAGGGAACCATTTAACATAATTGAAAAACAAATTAATAATGTAAGAATGTACTATATTCTGATGCTGTTAGTTTCGGTAGATGTGTTTGATCTCTTTTTATTTCCCATCGCAAGTTGTAAGATAGTTGGGACAAACTCAGGGGATATATATTTTTCTGTTTTTAATTTTTGTGTTTACACGTGTGCGCACGCACATACATATCTGGGTCTAACACAGATATCTATATCTCTATAAGGATCTAACAGATATGATTCTCCTGTGGGCATAGCAAGCCATTTGATAAAGGAAATGGTTGCTTGGGTCAGGTGGAAACTGAATAGTTTCCATCTTAGGGTTCTTAAATCAGCCATGACTACTTTAATGAATGGAACACTCGTCAGGGCGTTACGGAATCCAGCTTTTATTTGTGACTCCATTACTGACTTTATAGCCTTATGCAGGTTAATTTCTGTGCCTTGCTGTCTTCACCTATAAAACACTGGTGATGCCTGCTGCTTTTCTATTTCTTCAGAACACAGTGAGGATTAATGAGCCAAGTCACAGAGCCTGTCTTGTGGTTTGTACACCATGATTCTTCACTGCACTGTGAGGGCTTATTAATATACACAGAGTGGGCATGAGGCAGTGAGTCTGCCTTCACAGGTGCCTTCAGTGTTGTTTTAAATAGGCTTACCCAGTGAAGTGGCAGATTTAGGGATATCAATAGCCCAGTACTGTCCAGTAGACCTTTCTGTAGTGATGGAAGTTTTTATGTTGTACTGGGTATTTACTAGCTACTAGCCACCTGTAGCTATTGAATGCTTGAAAATTGGCTATTGCTACTGAGGAACTAAATTTTAAAATATATTCTATTTTAATTAATTTAAATAGCCACATGTGCCAGATGACTACAGTGAGGGATAGCTGGTTGATATAGTTAGGAAAGTTGGGAAGGAGGGTTTGTTCGACAAGAGGTTTGGACTGATGTTGGATAAAGGATAGTAGGGCAGATGGAGATTTAGTCCTAGGTTATAACAGTGTGGTAGCTGTTTGTAAACATTGTTATTCCTTCTTTTCCAGACCATTGGTCACATACTTAAACATTTTCCTGTGTTTTTTGCTCTTGGTTTTATTTTGTAGTAGTTCATCTGATTGGCTTTACCAGTTTCCTAACTGCTCACCTTCTCTTCGTAACTTTTTTTTAATTCATTCTCCATACTGCAGCCCGAATGCTTTAAAAAAATACAAGTCTGGTCAAATCACTTACTTGCTTATAACTCTTCAATAGCTTCCTCTTAATGTTTTTAATATAAAGGCCGAACTCCAGGACATGGTTTATAAGGCTCTGTATGGTCTGGTGCTACTTACTGCTCCAGTCTCATTCATCTTTCCACAGTTCCTCCTGCGCCCCTTTCCTTCAAGCATTTTTGTGTTCACCTTTCTGTAAAGGAGCCTATTTTGCCTCCTTTATATGTGCTCAGTCTTTATACGTGCTTTCACTTTGTCTGGAATATTTGTTTTTGGCAGACAGTTTTCTCATTCTCTGAGTTTCGTCTTAGTTACCATTTCCTTTTGGCTGACTTTTGTGATTCCTCAGGTCTATTTGGAGCTTCCCCAAGTAATGGAACTTGGGTAGTAGTATGTTTACTTCTTATTCTCTTCTATTAGGTTGTGTGCTTTGTGGACCAGCCATCATGTCCACTCTCTCAGGCCTTGCCAAGCACCCAACATAGTCTTGTACCCATGTTTATTTGTAGGGAATTAGTAAGTATTGAGTAAACGAAGATAAGGTATATTTTTTCCTCTCTTTTGATAGGTCAGATGAGAAGGAATAGGAATTGCCTCCTTCACCAACTTCACTGTAAGTGTGATGAGCATGTCTAAAATCAAGTCTGTAAGCTGTACCTTTTCAAGGGTGGTAGAACTGGTTCCTGGTAGCTGTTAGAATAATGTCATGAGCTCCCTGGGTAGAATTCTTTGTCTCTTGCCTAATTGGTATCCATAGTATGTTACCTTCTGTAGAAATGTGGCTACCCAAAGTAATTCCTATAGCTCTGACACTTTTAAGGTCTCTCTCTCTCTGCCAGTGTTCTAGATATTGTCCTTCTAGAATTAAGGTGAGACTAGATGAAATTCCTTCCTATACCTTCTTCCATTTCTTAAGGAGATCATGGGAAGGGGGACCTGGGGCATGGAGACTATGTGGGGTTCTTACTATTCTCCTTTTTTTGCCTGAACCTCTTGCTCCTCTTATGTCATTAATATCTTAGACTCGGAATCTGAGTAGGCAAGCATTTTTTCTTTGACTTTCTTTGCTTATTACACTTTTTTTTTTTAACTCTTGATAAAACTCTGTTCTCAGTAACCAGGACTTAGATTCTCTCCATCCCTGGAAGAAGGGTAAGAACCAGAAAGGGCAAAAGCCATTTTTCTGTTTGTCTTCAGGGCTTGCTACTTTGGCCAGTTGAGGAGGTAGGGTCCTTTTGCTTATTCTAAATTTCTAAGTGGCCTCTTTTAGCTCTAGGACAGACATTTGACTGTCATCTTCATTACTGCAAGGTTGAAGCCTTCTCTTGGATCCCTTTCTTTCCTGTTAGGTTTTCTCACACCCCCTCTCTCGCTTCTCACTTACCATCACCCCAGCTCTCTCTGGCTGCTTATGTTTTAGTAGGAGTGAGCAGATACATTACTGATTATAGAACAGGGTGACACGTGCTTTCATAGTGTGATGCCCAGGATGCTATGAAAATCTATAGTAGGGGCTGCCAGTAAGCTTAGAGGATGTCATGAAGGCTTTCTGGAGGAAGAAGTAATCCGCTGAATTTTGAAGAAAAAAAAGAATGGGTAGAAGGGGTTTTCAGAAAGATGAGGTAATGGGTGCTTAGGTACTCTAAGGC